TAAATCATCCTCTTCTTCAGCCGTAATAAAATTTACCTGTTTCAGTTTACATACATGCCCTGGACCCCACTGTTCACCACATCTCCAACACAGGTTGTTGTTTTTGTGATACTGGATCTCTTGGGGAGCCACTCTTTTGAAGTTTTCATTTCCAAACCGTCTGTTTCCTTGTTCAGCGTTCTTATGACCATTGAAGGCTCTTGGATTCTGAGAGTAACTTTTGGTCTGGAAAGTTGATGGATTCCTGCTTTTCAAGGCAAATTCTAAAATCTTCTCTTGAACTTTGGCAATTTCAAAAGCCCTCAACAAAGAAGAAGGCTCCAACAACCGAACCATGGGTTTAAGTTCTTCCTTTAATCCACTCACAAAACTAGAAATGAAGTAACTCTCAGTTAAGTGAGGATCTTTGTATAGAACTAATGACTTCAACTCTTCGAATTTCTCATGGTATTCCAAAATAGATCCTTTCTGTTGTAGCTTATTAAACTCTTCGATTTCATCCATCTCGCCTTTCTCTCTAAACCTTTTCTGCAATTCCTGTACAAAATCAGCCCAAGCTATATTTCCTTTGACTCTTTTCAAACTTTGGTACCATGTATCTGCTTTGCCCCCCTAATAGAGTTCAATCGCTTCCATTTTATCCTTATCAGAGATATTATAGATGTTAAAGTATTTATCACATTTTCTTAACCAATCTCTCAGATTTTCACCCACAAAATTTGAAATTTCTAACCTTGGCTGAATCATCCAGTTGTTCCTTCCATTCTTATCCCTCCAGGGACTAGAAGATTCATCTTCTAAATTAACCTTAGGAATTCCAGATGGGTTAGGCAATATAGGAGACTTACTCAGATTTGAAGACTCTGGTTTTCCTTCGGCCTTACTCTCCTTAATCATCCGTGCCAAACCAGCAATCTGAGTACTGAGGACTGAGATCTGAACCAAGAACTGCATTGCTTGGTATTCGATTTTTGACTCCATCTAAGTACCCCAATTTGTAATCTTTTCTTCGATCTGTTGTTATCTTTCTGCCATTTGTTTTTCTAACTCCAGGAACTGGACGTCCTGTTTCTTGACATGTTCTTCCAATAACTGAGTTTTTGATCTAGTTTCGGCCATTTTAATATCACAGTCCAAGAATTTCTTTGGCTCTGGATACCAAATGTGATGGTATGATAAATGATTTAGGGGATAATTGATAAAGAAAAGGGGAATTCAGAGTTCAGATCAGAGGGTAAGAACAACAAGGAGGGGGAAGCAAGTCCGATAAGGGAAGAAAAAGAAATCAGAGGGAAGGAAATGAGGGAAGAGAAGGATTTCCATTCAAATTTGCATCGCTCCTCCACTTTTGCAGTCTAGTACATGTAGAGATTCCTTCTAATCCTCATTTTACAGATAATAATTTAGCTGAACCGTTAAAGGAAAAATAAAAATAAAAATAACAGCAACGGTACAATTCCAGCGGAGCATGTGCAGCTGAGTTTTGTCTTCATGCATACAAGCAGCTTCTGGAAGTTGTTGTCAACTTTCTCCCCAATTAATCCATACATCGTCGTCCCATGACCTAATCCCTTTTTTCCAATTACCCGAATTGCCAGCATCCGAATCCGTAAACTCGAACTGCATGACATATTACTCACAAATGGACCGTGACATCCAAATCCGTAGCTATATAAATGTTTGGGCTGTGCGAGAAGTTTTGGACTTTGGAGAGGCCCACAGACCTAACTAATTTTTCAGATTTACTAACAAGAGGAACCTAGCAAAGAGAATGTGGTACATAAAACTAGTGATGTGAAGAATTCAGAACCAATGAAACCCCATCCTTGGTATTCAAGAAACATAGTTATATTAGGCCACTTATAAATAATAATGCCAAGTCATGTATAAATGAAGGAAAGTTACTGTATACGGATGATTAATATATCTGTTTTTCTTCATCCATCTTTTTCTTGCTCTTTTTTATTCCTCTCAAAAAATTAATCAAGTATAAAATTGTACTCTCTCTGCTCTAAGAAAATCGCGTAATCCACTTTGTTATTTTGTTTTAGTTTAACGAAATGTACTAATTTTTTTTAAAACAAAACGTAGTATCGTTTCATGTAGATTTCAAAAATAAAAGTAAAAGAACATGGATTACCAAGTTAAACAAATATATGAGCCGTTAGCCCACTACCACAGCCACTCTTTTACGCAATACATCTCAAAAGTCCACATTATAATCCACCCCTAAGAATCTAAGACCAGAGGATCAATATAATCCGCCTCTCTAAATTTAGGATTTTCTTTCTTCATTTTGTTTAACTTGCTTTTATACTTTAAAATTACCTATTATTTTTATTTATTTTTTTTTATCGAAAGGATGATAGAGTTTATTAAAATACAAAAGTTTTATAATAATAAAGAGACTTTACAGGTAGCTCGTGGCAGGACATTAAAGCACTTTCAAAATCGATCTAGTGGCATTGGGATTCAGGTAGCTCGTGGTGCCCTAACCATATCACACCTAATATATGCAGATGATTGTTTGTTGTTTGCTTGGGCTAGGTTTTCAACCTTCTATCTTCTAGCTCGCATCCTTGATGGATATGCTCGTCATTCGGGGCAGCGCATTAATTTTGATAAATCAGCTTTGATCTTCAGTCCAAATGTCTCTTCCGTGTTGGTTCCCTCCTTTGTCATGTTCATATTGAAAGTGAGATTTTCAGTGGTCGTTATCTTGGTATGTCATTGGAATTTAGTCTCAAACGTAGTGAGGTATTTGCCAGCATCATTCCAAAAATTCAGCGGAAGATTGCGAGATACAAAACAGATTTTCTGTCTGTCATTGGTCTTGTGGTCTTAGCTCGACATGTGTTGGCATCCCTTCCTCAGTATGCAATGGGCATCTTCAAACTCCCTGTACCCGTGACAAATGGAATTGATAAACTTCTGGCTCGCTTGGCATGGTGATGATAGTGAACATAAAATTTACTGGAAGTCCTGGCATGTCATTTGCCAGTCGAGATTTCATGGCGGTTTGGGAATGCGGTCAGCAAGTGAAATGAATCAAGCACTGCTTGGTAAAATGGCGTGGAAGATTTATATGGCTCCTCAAGCGCTGATATCTCGGTTATATAGAACGAAATATTGTCGAAATTCGAATTTCTTCACGGTCCAGCCGGGACAGCGGGCTTCATGGGGCTGGAGAGGATTCTTATGGGGTCGGGACCTCTTGAAGACGGGTCTTAAATGGCAAGTTGCAACGGGTACACAAATCCCTATCACTGCGGATTGGATCCCAGGCACTGCTAATCCTCTGGCATTTACCACACCACAAGGTCTTACAGTTGCTGATTTCATTCATCCCATATATGGCTGGCGCCTCCCTCTTCTTCAGACTCTATTTCCACAACATATCATCCCTCGCATCTTGTCCATCTATTTGCCACGGGCGCCCACGCCCTTTGCTGATGAAATGTATTGGATGTTAGATCCAACAGGCCGATACTCGGTGCGGTGTGCTTATCACCAAGCTCGCAATTTGCGTGCAGTACACCGGCTCTTGCATCAACATCACGGGTTGTTAATCTGATTCGAATTTTTGTTTGGAAAAAGCTGTGGACGTCTCAAATTCCGGAAAGGCTCAAATTTTTCATTTGGAGGGCATTGTCAAAGGCTTGTCCCACGGCCGAGGCACTTTATCAGCGTGGGATTATGTCAGCCCCAATTTGTCTTCGTTGTGGGGCTTCGTCCGAAACTGTTGGGCATATGCTTCTTGGCTGTCAACGTGCACAATTAGTTTGGCGTGCTTCCCCCTTTGGGTTTGATTTCTCATCAAGCACTCCTACCTTCTTTGAGGTTTGGTTCACTGATTGGATGCAACAAGCTCCTAATGATGATCTCCGTTGTTTGTCTATGTTTATGTTATGGGAGATTTGGCAAGACCGAAATCATCATATATTTGCAGGTCAATAAAATCTAGAAGCGATGAAAGTTGTCCAACAAGCCTGCATAGAATTTCAGATGTATTGTCCAAAATCTCTTTATCTTCCGTTTGATCCGGGTGGACAAACACCAGAGCTGCAGAACACCTCCACCTTTTGGCATCTGCATTTTGATGGTGCCTTTCGCCCATCTGCTAATGTAGCTGGTGCTGGTTGGGTTTTGACTTCCCCAGAAGGAACAACTCTTGTGCAAGGTAGCTGTATTACTTGGGCAGATTCCCCTCTCAAGGCAGAAGCCATGGCATGTCTTCAAGCGATACGCGCGATTGATTCAGCAATGTATCCACGTCTGCTAATCTGCACGGACTGCATTGTCCTCTCCAATATCCTGAACAACAAGCTTGAAGCACCGCAAGATGGTAGACTTCTTTTTGCAGATATTAAGTTATGCTTGCTTTGTTTTACTCAGTTTGTAGTTTGTAAGGTTCCTCGTTCTGAAGTTTAGGCAGCACATGTTCTTGCAGGACAAGCATGTCTGTCTTCGCAGTAATATACTGACGTTTGATGTTTATATAGAAAGCACGCAGGTGCTGGTTGATAAAAAATAAAGAAAAGAGACTTTACAAGCTAGCTGATGGACCTCGTCTTCTAGCACACATTTTTTATCAGCTTAATTAACTAGTTATTTTCTTGTGCAGAGATGGAGACATTGTTAGAGCGACTATTGATCAATAACTGTTGGAGCGATTATTTGATCATTTCGTTTCTCATCTCTTTGCAATGGCATGGACATTGGAGAGGACTGTGCAACATAGTATGCGAATTGGAGCAGCGAGTGTAACTTATGGTGAGGATTGAGGAAGCATGGAACGAAATAGGCATACTTATTTTAATGACGTCTCACCAAATTTTAATCAAGTCCATAAAACATTTTCAAAAGTAAATATATCCGACAAAATTTTTGTTTGTGACTGAAAAAAAAAAAATTATACACTGATTTATATCGCATATTGTGGTTTAGTTCTTATACACGAGTGATGCTTTCAATATGTCTTTTTTTTTTTTTGTTTTGTTTGATATTCGATCTCTTTCTCCTATATAGATTAACTAAAAACATCAACCAAATCATCACTACTACATACATATATCATACATGCATAAAAATTGTACAGTATGAAATGAGAGCACTCTTCCGAACTGTTTTATTGTAAAAAACCTATGTATCATCTCGGAACTCAGTTTGGTGGTTCGTGATTAAAGAATTCTCCATATGTTTCTTCCCCAATTTCCGCATCTGAACAAGAAGTAACGCCGAGGCGGCCAAGAACTCCAAACTCTGAATCGGATTCAGAACATCCAGAATCCCTTTCAACGTCTTGAGCCTAACGCAATCCGCCATCTTAATCACCGTTTCCAGCCCATTCAGCAACCCTTTCAACGCCGCGCTCACCATCAGATCAACATCCGGCGACATCGGACGGTCGCCGCTCCGGATCAAGCCGACCAGCCGGGTCAACTCCACGAATTTCGGGTCCGCCATGGAAACCTGTTGCCTCTCCATTTCCCTCTCCACTTTGTCCTCCTCCAATCTAATCCTCACCCTCAAACTCTCAATCCTCTGCAGTTGCTGGTCGGTCAGCTCCGCGGCCGGCCCCGGAGACGGTGGCGACTGGCCCGTTTTATGAAGTGAATTGACAACGCGGAAAAAGGTGGAGGGCTTCCAGCCGGTCATCCAAGAAAAGGCAGTTTCTAAAGGGGTCAACCAAATGGGATTGAAGAATGCGAGGACGTCTTCGTGGGCGCCAGCCCATTTGGCGGTGTAGAAATCCTTGTGGTGTTGGGTCATTTTATTAATCAAAGCTTTACAGTTATTCCCCTGCTCGTCACAATGATGTTGATGATCAGGAGTGGATATTTCCCGCTTCAGAAGATTGGCGTACTCTTCAAGCTGACACATCCATGCTTCGAAGAAATCATGGAATTTCTTCTCTGCTAATTGGGGTCTCATGTTTTTATTCATAATCATGAAGTTATCATTTAGTTCAATTATGGGAGAAAATTGGAAAAAGAAGATCAAAAGCATATATGTGTATATATACACATTGGAGCAGGGGACTTGAGAAGAATTAGGTGGCAACTGAACAGATGGAAGCAAGAGAGAAGTGCCACGATGGGAGTGATTGAGCAATGTTCGGGAACTGCGTGGCTTCTGCATGGCTTACGCGCAGCAATTAGCCTACGGTGACCCCTTGCTTCGCCATGCTGTGCGTATTGGTCGGTCAAATGGCGCTAATTCAGGTATTTAAATTGAAGTCTGTGCTCTCTCTCTCTCACTTTTTCCATCTTTTTTGGGTAATGGGGATTCAGGATTCTATGTTGCATTTGATTCAGAAACAAGATTCCAATCTGCATCTCTGCAGAGAATTAGTTTTGTTGGTTGGGACTTGGCTAGTTGGGTCTTTAACTGAAGTTAGTATCATATACTAAATCGGTCTTTATCGGAATACATTCTTGGCGCCCCAGAATATAACGTGAACAAACAGTATAACTATTTTAAAGACAAGCAATATTCACCAACTGAGTTAACAATGTCGCGTACACTTAGAATTCAATTATTGCAACTCGACTTCCGAAAAACATCTACTCGGGTCGAATCCAGATTAATCGAAATCATAATTTCGGACACCTAATACCTAATATACCAAAAAAAATAATAATTCAATTATTGATTTAATGATCTAATTTGAGTAGCTAGATTTCATGTCACAGGCACACGGTGATCGTGTCCGATATCGACTACTCCATGTATATATACGAGATTTTAATAAGTTTGTCGTGTTATATGCTTTAAAAAGATTCCTTTGACTTACCGAGAAACAAAAACAATACAGTTCTATAATCAATATAAAAGAAAAGAGTTGAGCTACGAAGGGATTCATGGAAGCTAATTTATTGACGAATTTTATGAGATCTTTAGCTGCTACTTGTTTAGGAAGATTGCAATGGTTTGATCGTCGTATGGAGTTTTACATGGCTAGAAAACGACTTGATCCGTGTTTATTATCCACAAAATTTTTTAGGCTTTGCCTTTATTGTACAAGGAAAAAAATATAAAAGATTTTTTTTTTTCAAAAAGAAAAGAATTAGAAGGAATGCGCTGCGAGATATGGCCCAAAGTGTTGGAAATGAATTGGGCATGAATCTATGCTTCTCACCTTAGGATTTGTTTGGAGCAATGTATATATATGTTTTTTTTTTAAAGGTTTCAAGTTCAAACAAGAACATTCTCTTGAGCAAAAAAAAAAAAAAAAAGAAAAAAAAAGAACATTCTCCACACGAACCACTTTTTCATTCAAGATCTTCATCATTCAAAATTTTTAAGTTTTGAAATTAGACTATTTTTTAAAATTGTTTCGGGGATAGGGGAAGTATGCAACTTCAAATAGCTGGGAAAAGAATATATAACAATGTTTTAAATGTGTAGCGTGAGGATAACATCCCACAAACATTAAAACCAAACCAAACAAAAGAAAAGATACAGCGATTATGCAGAAATATTTGTCACACGCAACAATATGAATTTATCAGATGCGAAGCCCTTTTTTTTGATAATCGTTTAATAAAAAGTACAGTAATTGTGTGTGTATGTGAACTGGGCATAGAAATGTGTTAATTTATTTTAAACAATACAATATTACACTGTGCATTTCTCATGCCCGTCCTAACAAGCTGGCTTCTTATATTGCTCTTATATAGTTTGAATAAAATAACCAATTAATACTAATTTATTGTGAGACAATTTTTTCATAGTACAGGGATGAAGTCAATTGGAGATGTCAAGTTAAGCCAAATTTCTTATACTTGATTCCAAGCTTCTTCCCTGTCGACGGCCAAAAGTTTGAGTACCTTAAGCAATTAAAGAACGCTACTGCTGGATTACACGAAAGGGGTTCTATCCGGCTCAAATCAGATCAGTCGGGGCAGTGATTTTGGATCAATCGGGGCTTATAGTATGAAGAAAAAGATTGCTACTGTACTGCTGGACTTGAACTTCTTATCATTGCCAGAATTAGTCTTTCAAACCTTTTTAGCGACAGAGAAAGTGCCTGTAACGGAAGCTTCAATATCTCTCTGGTCTGAATTTACGTATTTAAGGTAAGATTCAATCTCTTTTGTATCAGAGCTGCCAAGTCTCCGGAGGAACCATCCATAATTCGTTTTGGCCCTTCTTTCACTAATTGCAATGGCAATATCGTTAGGGAAGAGATCTTTTAGGACGAAAGCGTGGACAATTGTTCTTATGAGCAATGCGGCCACTATAAGAGTAGCAATTGCACATAGTGCAACTGTTAAACATTTTGTGATAATGTTTGTCACAACATTTGAGTAGCTGATTGTGGCGATGGCTGCTCCGGTCATCGGAAAAGTGTATGCCCACCATGACAATGAAAACCTGTAATATATGTCACGAGCGACAAGGGAAATTTACTTAATAATTAGGTCCTTAATGAATATCATTTCCCATCTAATAATCCCTAGGATTAACATGCATGAATGACAAATACCTGAAGCCACGGAAGAAATTAATGCGCACTGCCTGTGGGAAGCAAAAGACAAAAAAAAAAAAAAAAGGGTTAGAGATGAATTATATTATACTCTGTGTGAATTATTCAAACAGACACCCTGTTTCATGACCAAGGGCTCATTAAAGAAAACTAAAGGTAGTTTGAAACTGGCACGAACAAGTATTTTCTCCGAAGTTCCTGCCAAATCCTAACTATGGTTGTCAATATGGGATAATTCTTCGGAACTGTTTACAACTTGGTGGCAAAAATCTGGCGGCGGATTGTGTTCAGAGGTTTAGAATAGTAAGTAATAATACTATATTTCTAATCGATAATAATTTCCACTAATCTTTAAATCCTGTTTAAAATTATTAGTTGATAAATCAAAAGTTTCTTTTGCTTGTAGTTAATCAATCTAATTCGATTGTTTTTGGTAACTCAAAATTACAATTGACCTTGTTTAAGACCAAACCATGTTTTGCCTCTAAATTATTTTGGCTCAATATTTTTCACTTTTTTCCTGAGCCACTTTCAACGACTCTCACACAGCGGCTCAAAGGCTCTACCATTGTCGCCGATCTAGCATCGGCATCAGACGTCAGCGCCACCAACAGCGGTCTTACTTTTTGACATTTATGATTTATGTTCCATTTGTCAAGATAGGTTTCTCGAATTAATCCTTAAATTAATTTGAAAAAACCTACGTCATAATCTAAAGACCCCCAAAAGGTCAAAACAGACAGTAACCACATTCCAAACGGGCCAATTCACCTACTCATGGTTCATGAGAAAGTATATACAAGTATGATCACAGTGAGTAAGATATATACACAAGGACTAACCAGGGAGATATAAAGGAAGAGGGCAATGAAGTAAGCAATCCGTGATCCGAAATCAAAAGATCCATGAATTTTCGCCCACGCCATAGAGGCAACACTAGGCGCCGTGACGAACAGAAAAAACACAGGATGAAGCTCTTTGGGGAGTGTTTCATTTGTTGGAAGTCTTTGGTAAAGTGTAACGAATAAAACAATGTAATGAGCCAAACCAACCGCAAAGAAAAAAATTGGTCCTTCTTTTAGCCCCATGGATGCACCAAGCAATGCCCCAACAAAATTGCCCACAATCGACAAATGATTTGATGGGTTGGCGACTTTTGAGAGCCTCCTCTGCCCTCCAGACACCCATTGCCCGTAGATTTTGAGCTCAAGGCAAATAATCGGAGTCATGAGAAAGTACCATATAAATTCAGGCAAATCTCCATGAGAAACTGATGGTGGAAGTCCAAGGACTAAGAAGAGAATTGCTACCCAGGGAGCGAAAAAGAAGTTTACCCGGACAGGGTGGAGGAATTCGCGGCGAACCGCTTCAAAGTAGAACACCAATTTCATGGAGTAAATAGAGGAGACAATTACAAGAAGGGCAATGGATATACACCAGAGGATGAGGTTCACATGCAGGCTGATGTGGAGGAATTTTGTCGAAGACGAAATTGCGAGTGCTTTCCACATAAAGGCCTGGCTGCCTAATCCAATGCAGATACTAAATGAAGAGACGGGGTAGCGAAGAAGAAACGGCCAGAGTTTATCTTCAGGAAGAAGTATCTGCTCCGAAGGCTGCCAATCAGGGAAAATGTTAGTACAAAGGATGTTTCCGTCACAAATACTCCTTGTCCCGAAATTACTGTCCAGTCTGAGTTTTTATTTTGAGTTCAAATTGTACTGAAAGTGAAAATCCAAATTAAACAATAATTTTGGGACAGAGGGATTACAACAATCCGATTCCATACCCGCAACGTGTCTAGCTCGGGTCCTTGTAAGGCATCAAAGTACCTATGTACAGGGAAGCTCTCTGCTTGTATATTCTGAGGAGGATTAGTGAGTTGTGCGCCTTCCTGATGTTTTCCTCGGAGATTGGATAACTGCCTTTCGAGTTCGCCGGATCGGGTTTTGAAAACATCGAATCGCTTGTCCTTCAATCTCTGAATTTCAGAATTCCTGATCATTGGTAGTTCTATGCAGCTCCTGGACGCGCGACTGGTGACAGGGGACTCATGCGTATTCAGCTCCGGGGGACTGACATAACCGGAAGTAGCAGCAGAATTTGCATTATCATTCGGAAATACTTTCGTGGAATTGGCATAGTGATTTTGTCCAGGAGAGGGTGGCATGCTTATGGAAACGAAGTGCATCCTCTGAGGCAGAGAAGGATCAGGTGTCTTTTGCTTACCTGAAGCTGCTCCCTCAATTCCCTGGGACAAATCAGTAGTATTAACAAAACAATCCTGACCCAAAATCAGAAACAAAAAGGTAGAGCAAACGGAAATTTTATTAATATTACCATATATAAGATCGATTTACCTTGCTATTTGATGGGAAAATCGCGGGAGTGGTGTTTGAAGCTGATTGATAGTTCTGGCCAATGATATCTTCATGGTTATATCTTGTTACAGATGAAAGCACATCTGGTGCATCTGTGTTCGTCAAAGAAAACACTTCCTTGCTTTCCATGGCAGCGCTGCAGCAACAGTAGTACCTAACAGAGAAGAATTAAAATGTAGGAAGAACAGAGGACCATAGGAAACAGAGGAGAAGAATTTCTGATAGGCTTTGGTAGTGCAAAATTTCATTCGAAAGGTAAATATCTAGCAACTTCGAAAAACTAGATGTGCATTTGATTGGATTTGGCAAGACACAATCTGGGCATCTTTTATAAAGGAATCAAAGAGCATCGTACTAAGTCCTTAAAAGAGTCGCTAGAGCCTACCTTTCAGATTGAAAGAAAACAGAGAAACCTAGTGAAGTAACAACAATAGTGAAAAGGAATGAATACTGGTCCTTGAAAATGTTCCACTTGATAGGTGAAATGCTCGTAAGTCGTGTAAACTTTTGGCTCTATGCTACCCTTTTTCTTCTTTTCCAAAGAGGAGAAGAAGAAAAGACAGATGATAGAAGCAGATCCAGAGCGGACACTAAAACTTTTGGCTGCGGGAAAGACTAATTGGAATGTTGGCAACCAGTCAGCCCACCAAAAGCGTCTTATAAATAGCTGCAATTTGCATAATAATGTCTTCAAATAAGTACGGCCGATACACGATTGTACCAGTTACACTTTTTCTCCCCGTGACGGAGGCACCGTAGATTATTTGCTGGAAAATAAATAAAATAAAATGAAAAAATAATAGTGAGCTACTGTATCCATCCCATAAAGAAGGAGCTACGTATACGGGTATACTACTATATCAGGGAGGTTACAGTGACAGAGATGTCACAGTACTATGGCAGACTAGAGTGGACGAGGTGCTATATGTGAACGGTGGCCTAGTTGAAGAAATTGAGAAGAAGATATTTGGTCAAAGTCTTACATGTGTATCGTAAATCAAATTTTATAGTCGATCGTCGGGTTTTGAGAATTTGAAGATCTGCCGTGATCGAAACACGATTAAATTATTATTTTTTACGCACTTACAATGTTCTTGTCTAGCAATTGTCATAACCTGAACCGAAGTTACCAATGACAAAGTTTAAAAAAAAATTGAAAAAAATAAAAAATGGAATATTTTTACCAAACAAACACTCGATGCAGGTTGTGAAGTATGAGATGAGAATCTAATCAGTATGCAGTCGTAATTAAAATACTTTTTTAAAAAAATTACATGTTTAAAGTCTTGGACAACAATTTCGATCACAAAGTTTGTAATACATATAAAGAACAGAAATACTTGTCACTTCGTATATTCCACTTGGTGCATGCGCAACTACTGACTACTGAGGATTTGTCCCGTTGCTGAAGGGGGAAAAAAGGAGCCTAGTACCCATATTTATTAATATTTATTCCTAATGTTTAGGTCTACTTTTTTTTAGGAGCATTTTTTTTTTCTTTTACTAATATGATAGAGCAAATCTGGAATTATAACGTATAATCTATTATATTATACTAATTATACTAATTTATAATATATCTTACTATATTAGAAACAAAAACCTCCCTTTCAAACACCTCATATGATTGCCACGTGGCATATAGAAACTACTAAATTGTCCTTTTGTCTAAACCATAACTAAATTACTAAATCTCCCTTTGCACTTTACGTGACACGTTTTTTTTTTAAAATTTTTTTTTTTTATGTTTCATTCATTTAGAGTGGTTTTTTAAGTTAAATTGATCAATTAGGTTTTTGTTACAAAGTATCAATTTTGTTTTAAGCGTATACCCTGCGGATGAAGCTTATTACAAAGCTATTAAAAATCTCCAAAATTAAGTATTGATTTGGCACGACCGAACATCAATAAATAATCTTACTAATATTTAAATTTATTAGGATGCTTTTATATTTTATCTAACATTTACTTCAATACATATATTCGATTAAGGCTATTTATATTTAATAAGTAACACTTATAAAATATTTCTATAACTTACATGGCAGAATACAATTTCTTTTTTTTTTTTGTGAAATACAATTATTTCTATGATCACACTTATAAAACATTTCTAAATCCTTCAAACATTTCTAAAATATATCGCTCCAAATACAAAATTTTATTTTTTTGAAAATATAAACATTTCTAAGATTTACAGATAGACTGGGCCAGAGTCGCGCATTGCGCGACCAGACATCACTAGTTATACTAAGAGAGAAACCAGAGAGAGAAAACCAAAAAGAATTCTAAAGGTGCCACATATGATAAAATCTTATGTGTCATTTTTCTAATGGTTGAGTCAAAAAATATTTACAACAATTATACTAATAGTCCTTCAAATTTTATGTAAATAAAGTTTTATCAAATGGCATTTAAAACTATAGTTTAAAATAGGAAAATATAAAATTAATTAAATTTAATGGCCGGAATTGATGAACATTAATGCACCAGAATTATTTCCTCACCAAAAGAATCCCCAAAGTTACTACTGGATTCATTTAATTAATTTCTTAAAAAAAAATCTCTCTCCCAATCATTTAAATCAACAGACTACAATTCAAAAAAAAAAAAAAATCAATCATTCAACATTAATGTTATCTTTAAAATATTCTCCCAAAAACATGGCCCTATATTTTTTACCAATAAAAAAGGAAAAAAGGTACAAAATTTGCCTTCAATTATTACTAAAAGGATGGGATTTAACTATAATTAAATGTTATCTTTTGAATTTCAAACCAATGCATTTATTTGTGTAATATCATATTTACCCAAATAAATATAATCTTTTCTTAATAATATCTCAAAAGTTGTTATAAACTTTATCTTTATCACTGAAATTTTGGATAATCAATTATCATCAATCCCAATTTATCTCTATTTATTTCCTCTTTTGGATAGTAAAATTTTGGATAGTAAGATATACTCCAAAACACCTACATTACTGATGGATTATAAATAAAAATAGTAAAATTCATTTTACACTTTTTATATTTTTTGTAGATTTTTTATAATGTATATAAATAAGTCCCGCGCATCGCGCGGGTTTAACATCTAGTTATAATATAATACAGAAACCAATGAGAGGTTTTAAGGAGAATTCATACATCGCCACGTAGGATAAAATCCTACGTGGCAAATTCTTAAAAATTAGATATAAAATAGTTTTAAAATTTATGTCAATAGTCCGTATCACATATTCATAATATCAAATTACCCCAACTATCATAGTTACCAAAATTATTAATATTAAATACACCAATTCTATTTTAAATGATTATATTTAATGCACGGATAATACCAAAAAAGAAAAAAAATCAAATTATGGTCATATTCATTATTTATTGAAATCACGTCTAGATACATTATTTAGTATAATTAAGATGTAGTTAAAATGAACTAAATCAAAATTCATTACTGATGGATTATAAATAAAAATAGTAAAATTCATTTTACACTTTTTATATTTTTTTTGTAGATTTTTTATAATGTATATAAATAAATTCCGCGCATCGAGCGAGTTTAACATCTAGTTATAATATAATACAAAAACCAATGAGAGGTTTTAAGGAGAATTCCTACATTTTTATCCTACGAGGCAAATTCTTAAAAATTAGATATAAAATAGTTTTAAAATTTATGTCAATAGTCCGTATCACATATTCATAATATCAAATTACCCCAACCATCATAATTAATATTAAATACACCAATTCTATTTTAAATGATTATATTTAATGCACGGATAATACCAAAAAAGAAAAAAAAATAAATCCTGGTCATATTCATTATTTATTGAAATCACGCCTAGATTCATTATTTAGTATAATTAAGATGTAGTTAAAATGAACTAAATCAAAATTCAAAAGTCATACTGATTTTATGATAATGTTTTACGGTAATGATGACCTCCTAAACTTATGACAAATTATTAATGAAAAAGATTGGAGTTATATAATTTAAATTTCAAAAATAATCCAAATTCAAAGTATGATATTAACTATTACTAATTTTAAAAAAATACTATTTTATTAATCCTTATGATCATGGTGTGTATATATATTTCAACATCCTTTCCACTCCCTCTCAAAATTCTTTCCACTCCCTGATACGTGTTTCATTTTGTCAAGCTCTTGGCAATAATTCCGATGAATTTTTTTATTAAGAAAATTTGTGGAATTCTCATCTTTTGAATTTATTCATATTTTGACTCTATCTTCAATCTTTTAATTATTTATGGTTGTTTTACTCTTTTTCTGCGAAAATATTTTATCAACTATTTTTAGATCACTCAGTTTGATGATTTAATTGTGAAGAAGCACTGCTCACCAAAAATCTACAATAGAATGTCTACGCGATCGAAGTTATGCAATTTTTCTTTTCTCTACATCTTATTTAAATTATCTTAGTACGGAGTTTTATTTTTTGCGTATTATGTCATGATATTTTTGTTTCTAAAATTTTAATAATTATTATTACAAAGGTTGTGATTCAAACATATTGATCTACCCCGCACATCATGCGGGTGTAACATCTAGTTAATAATTATAACAATTACCCAATCTAAATATATGTATGTTTGTGTGCGTTTGTGTGAATATATCTCGAATAAAATAATGTAATAATTATAACAATTACTCAATATAAATATATTTCCGAATCAAATAGTGTAATAAATATAACAATCACCTAAGATAGATAGAGGTCAAATCTGGAGTTCCAGATAGCCATAATCTGAATTCAGGCATATTATTAAAGTTTGACAATTATAATTGTGCCCACCGAACTAGCTACTTTTCTGCATGGAATTCCCAGTCATCCATGCCAAATAACGTTGTATTCTTAAATCATGAGCCATGTAAATGGTTAGGAGTATGCACTAAAGTTTGTTCAATTTAAACAAAAACAAAATATTTATTTATCCATTGGCTTTGCAATTTACATGGTCTCCTTTGTTGTTAATGCATACATTTCCCCAACTGCTAGCTACGGACTACACAAAAATCATAGCCAATGAGTTTTATTAGCCAACCATTTTTATATATACTACTTGAGCTGGATAGAGATGTTCCGGTCCAGTTCATGTTCTATTTTCAAACTAACCTGTGCGAGATATTTTTTTTAATGTTCAAATGGTTTTCTACTAAGTGAGGTCTCAACTTCATAATTATTAATAACTAAACAGTCAATTTTTAATTGCTCAAAAAAAAAAAAAAAAACAGGCAAATCAAGTTAGGGATGCCTAAATTTCATTTAGCCTGCGTTTGTATTGCCTACTCTGTAGCATTATTAATAGTAAATCTCTACTGAATCAATTACGAATATATCCGACACTCTCGGAAATCGACTATGAGTTTACACCTCACACTTTGATATCGAAATTAGTCTACAAGGCCTAACATTCGTGAGATTACTGCTACCAAACCTCGGTCGAAAAACTTATTACTCCAAAACATCGAATTCCATTACTTGCCGGTTGGGATTGTTACCCTATTTTATTAACCAAAAATAATTATAATGGGGGCAGACCTAATTAATAAAACAGCCCCCTTAATACCTAACCAAAATTAACATTGTCTGAAATACAAGCTTACGTGATGCCAAAAAGGGTGTAAATGTACATGGTGATATCATCTTTCTTCATACAGAAATGTCATCAAAGGATAATACAAAAA